GGCAATGGCTGTTAGGATAAAATGGAGGACAGGAGAATGATGCCATTCTGGATGAACAGACTAAGCTGATGGACTTATTACTAACTTTATTTCTACCCCACTTTTTTCCCAATGGGGACCCATTTTGGAACAGTATAGTAGATGGGTAAGAAGGAAAAATATGAAGATTGTTGGTACATTTTACAGTTGGGGTGGGAGGAAGAAGGATGAAAAATAGAAAGAGAAGAAGAGTAGAAAGAAATGCAATCCTGAAGCAATGATTTTCATCATAAGGTCATAACCACACCACTGGCTACCTTGAATGACTTCATCACACTAAGTGGTAGAGTAGAACCCTGGGTGACCTGGGCTCGAATCCTAGGGTAGCCATCCCCCTGGTTGGGGCAGGGATCTCCTGATTTCAGGGCCCTAATCTGCCACCAGCCAGCAGTGGAAGCCTCACGCCTGAACAGCAGCATCCCATGGGGATGCTGCCAACATAATAATGTAACCAGTAGTGATGTCATCACACTGGGGCATGACACGGCAGTGCTCTAACATTTTTGGGAAACTCCATGGTTACCATAGAGTTTTTGCCCCAAATTCTAGAGCGCCACCACACAACAGTTCTGGCGTGATGATGTCACCTCTGGTGACGTCATCACATCGGCGGTGTCCCCAAGGAGGAGCTGGGAGCCCCCTGCCACAGGAAAGGTAAGACCTGGCAACCTATCAAATCCCCATTTCTGCCATGGGGCTCATCTCAAACTCAGCGTTGCCTACCTCACAGAGCTGTTGTAAGAAAATGGAGATGGGTAGAACGATGTTTTAAAAGCTGCTTTGAGTCCCAATTGGGAAGGAAAGCAGGATATAAATAAATAAATGCATAAAAGGCATGCATGAAGGCCTAATGACCCCACTTGTAACGCCTGTTTGCACAGTGGAGACTGCTTCCAAACATGGGAAGACACTACATGCTTCTGTCTTGGCCTGAATTAACTGCTTAAGCAGCATCTAGTTTCAAGGGTTATAGTGATATTTTGCTAAGGTGTTGTATAGCAGGACTGGAGAATTAGAAGTCTTGGTAACTTGGCATCTAATCTGCCTATTAGAATTAGACTCTTGCTTTGTCCAGAGGCTTGTCAAAATCAAAAGGCAAGACATGGGTGTGTGTTAAGGAGTCCAAAGCTGAACCCTATGGGTCCTCAGGGCTATTGTACACAAGTAACCAAACCTTTGTTTAATTTTGTTAAAATTATAAAGTTTTATTTAAATTCTGTCAAAACAAAGAATTTAATCTATAGGCAACATATCACTCTAAAGCCATACAGTACAAAACCCAAGAAAACTAGCTTATCTAACACATTTCCAAGAGTTGCATTAGATAGCACAAACCTTAAGTTCAACAGTTGAAGAACAATCCCTCCTGATTCCCCCCCCCCCATCCTGTGGGCTGCAGGTTCTCATGAGAAGCTAAATTGCCACATTTCTAGCTCTGGCTTTGAAAATAATAAGGGCTGTGAAGGCTGAGAGACCAATTACTAACACTTGCAGGATGGAACAGACCTGTAACCACCCACATTAACCCCTGAGGTGGGGCAGAGGTACTTTGCCTCACAGGGTGATATGAAGAACTATCATGGGTTCAGCCCGGTAGGATCTGGCCTGCTTTTTCAAAGCCTTGAAAGATTGGGAATACTGCTCTCTGTCCAGGTCAGGAGCTGCATTCCTTTCTCAAACTTGTAAGGCCTGTTTGCACAGTGGAGACTGCTTCCAAACATGGGAAGACACTGCATGCTTCTGTCTTGGCCTGAATTAACTGCTTAAGCAGCATCTAGTTTCAAGGGTTATAGTGATATTTTGCTAAGGTGTTGTATAGCAGGACTGGAGAATTAGAAGTCTTGGTAACTTGGCATCTAATCTGCCTATTAGAATTGGACTCTTGCTTTGTCCAGAGGCTTGTCAAAATCAATAGGCAAGACATGGATGTGTGTCAAGGAGTCCAAAGCTGAACCCTATGGGTCCTCAGGGCTATTGTACACAAGTAACCAAACCTTTGTTTAATTTTGTTAAAATTATAAATTTTTATTTAAGTTCTGTCAAAACAAATAATTTAATCTATAGGCTTTCTTTTCCAGGCTCTTGGCTCAATTATAGTTTTTTAGCCAAGCAGTATCAGGTGATGATGACATCCAATCAGGACCCATTCTTGCTGGAACTCTCCAGAAAATTACCTCATCACTCCTGATTCCCCCCCCCCCATCCTGTGGGCTGCAGGTTCTCATGAGAAGCTAAATTGCCACATTTCTAGCTCTGGCTTTGAAAATAATAAGGGCTGTGAAGGCTGAGAGACCAATTACTAACACTTGCAGGATGGAACAGACCTGTAACCACCCACATTAACCCCTGAGGTGGGGCAGAGGTACTTTGCCTCACAGGGTGATATGAAGAACTATCATGGGTTCAGCCCGGTAGGATCTGGCCTGCTTTTTCAAAGCCTTGAAAGATTGGGAATACTGCTCTCTGTCCAGGTCAGGAGCTGCATTCCTTTCTCAAACTTGACCAGCTTTGGTTCCAGGGCTTCTCCTAGTCACTGTCTTTTCAGCAGGTACAACAGGAAGGGGAAGATGTGGCTTATTACCCCCTCCCCACCCCCATGCACACATTTGCAATAAGCAGACTTTTATGTGCAATGTTCTCTGCAACCAATGACAGCTGTTCATGTGCTGAAACAGAGCATTTGGACCCTGTTGAGTTGGCTGAACTTCCTCCTGAGCTATGTATTCTGGAGCTGTAGTGGCTCAAGTGGTTAAGATGCTGAACTGCAGACTGTGGAAGGTCAGTAGTTCAGCAGTTGGAGACCCAGGGTAGCCATGTCTCTAGTTCCAGCTCCTGCCAACCAGCCCCGTAGCTAGGGAATTCTTTGGGAGGGGGCCTTGGGGGGGCCCGCCAGCTAATTAAATGGAAGTACAGTGCAGGTGGTAAGTTGGAGCACTTTGGGGGCAGCCCTGGAGGGAGGGGGCCCAGAAGAAACACAAGGGGGCCGGGCCCCATGGGCCCCATGTTAGCTACGGGCCTGCTGCCAACCTAGCAGTTCGAAAGCAAGAAATTGCAAGTAGATAAATAGGTACCGCTTCGGTGGGAAGGTAACAGCGTTCCATGCGCCTTGGTGTTTAGTCATGCCGGCCACATGACCACGGAAACGTCTTCGGACAGCACTGGCTCTTCGGCTTTGAAACGGAGATGAGCACCTCAACCCTAGAGTCGGATTCGACTGGCTTTCGAGCAAGGGAACCTTTAACTTTTATTCTGTTTGCGCTCTTCCAAAAGCTCCTCCTCTCACACACATACACACAGTTTGTTAATCAAAAGTAAGCAAAAACCAACGACGTGAAAAGGGGGGAGTACTAGAAAAGAGACCGCATTCCACGGTGGTTCTTGGAAAGGCACTGTAGGTCTTTCTCCTTTGTGTCCCCCCTCTTTTTTTCTTCTGTGGTTCTTCCCTTCGGTCGCCAGGCGGAGTAGTAGCACAGGGACGAAACGCGTCTTCTTTGCTGTTTTGCTGCTTGACGGTGGGGCGGTGTTTGTCGATCTCACCGGCCCCGCAAACAAGGTGAGTACAAAGGAAGGAGATAAATGGCAGAGCAAGAAGAATAAATTTGTGCTGTAACTCTTTCGCAATGCAGTGAAATCAGGCCGCTATTTCACTTGGAAACGTGTTAGAAACTGAGAGCTACTGAGTGAACACAGGTCGCTTCTTCCATCCATCCTCCTGACTTCGTTAACTGACCTCCGATTCCTTTTCTCGAGCCTTTTTTTTCCCTTTTCGAGGGGAAAAACCAAAGTTTTTATTTAATGATAAAATCCGAGGTTGTTTCTGTCCAGAAAACTTAACCCCCGTTTCGCATTTAGAGGAATCCCTCGGGATTTGCTCGATGTTTTGTGTCGATTTGGTTGATCCCAATAAAACGTATAACACGGATTTTGTTTTGGGATTTTACCTTATGTTAATTCACAAAACACCCTTGTTTTTTCGCCCGTCTCAATTTTCACATTTATTCACATCATTATCAATCCGTCGAAGATTGTTTTTGAGAAGAGCCTGCGGTTATCTGAGTGACTTTTGCTTTCTACCGATTAATTCGACTTGGTTTGGAGTCGGAATGAGAAAGTCCCTAGAAGAGCCCAAACCTCCCGCTGTTTTGGGAAGGATGGTGCCCTCAGTTCGGCGGGCCTTTCTACGCAGTGGGTATGGTTGCAGGTGTATGGGGCTCCCCGACCCTGTGTACTTCTATTCAGAAGCAGGCTCCATGGAGTTCAGAGACTTGCTCTGAAGTGCATAGATTTGCAGCCTGAAAAGAAATCGGCGAGGAAATGGCGCAGTTTTTTCGTAAATATCAGATTGGTATGTTTGCCCAGCGGACCGACTGGGGTTGGTGTAAAGAATGTACGAGGCACTGACTAGATTGGAATATTTTGTCAGAGTGAGGATTCGTTCGTTGTCAAGAATGATCCGTGAACGCCGGGTTCGTTTTCCCGCCTTCGGAGAGGCGAGAAGTACGCGTGTGCAAAGATACACGTTGTCTGTGCGCCGGGGGGGGGGGCACGATTTCAATACGCTTGCGCACTTGTCGCTTCTCGCGCCGCTAACGTTTTCCCTCCTATAGAGGTGGAGCATTTAGTTCCGGTTCCGTTTTAAAATCCCGCCATGTGCGGGGCAGTTTAACGTAGATTGCAGTGGCGGTTCAGAGAAACCGCCTTTACTGCCAGAAATCTCTTTGTGCCCAGGATTTTTAGATACAAGACCAATGAACGCTTTCTCAGAAACAAGCCCCATGTAGTTTAAAGTGGGATCTGCTCGGTAGGAAGTGCTGAGGGTGACCCCTATTCCGCACGGCATTTGGCATCGGGAACCGGAAGTGTGCAATCGGCGCTGTAGTTTCAACCGTCTAGAAAGCGGAGATGGGGTCGGTCCGCGCCTGCGTAGGTAAAGCCCGAGACATCCTTCGTTGCGTGCGCAGAGGGGGCGGGGGCGGTGGGGAATCATGCTGCGCCGGGCCTTGGCCTTGTTGATTCACCCTTGTTTTCTCCCCAGCAGCGCCGGTGGTGGCAGCGGGAACATGTTCTATGCTGTGCGCAAGGGCAGGAGAACGGGAGTGTATCGAACCTGGTAAGCAGGCCGAGGGGAAGTTGGAGCGTCGGGTACCCCGCTTTCCCCTTCCTACTTCCGCCCCGCCGGTTGCATCACAGCGGCTCCCTGAGTTTCTTAAATTTGGTTCCCAATGATTCGGCGAGCTCGGTGGAGTTTATTTCTGAAGAAATGTCCGTTCTTATGCTTAGGTTGACGCCTTTCTTTCAGTTTGGAGGCGTCAAAAGTCGTAACACAACTTGGGTTCCTTTCTTCTTAACATCAGTTCAGATGACACGAACAGATACCGAGCTGCAACACGTCAGCTAGGATGTCGTCCCAACCTTTCCTGTTAAGTGTTGTCACTGAGAGTATTATTCATTGTGCTCAGTTGAAAGACAGTAAACAAAGAATAAAACAGATTAGAATTGAAATCTGAAACAACTGGAGTCCCGTCCAGTGTTCCCTCTAAAGCTTAGTTAGTGTGAGCTAGCTCACAGTTTTTTAGTCTCTGGCTCACACATTTTTGTCTTCACTCAGGAAGGATGGCTCCAGAGCCAACTATTTTATACAGTAGCCCAGTCACTCACTCACAACTTTAATGTCAGTAAGCTCACAAAGTAGAATTGCTGCTCACAAGACTCCACAGCTTAGAGGGAGCATTGGTCCCGTCCCTCCCTTAATTTGTGCTTATTTGTTTGGGTATTTCCGTTTTCTCTTCTTCTCCATTTTATCTTCAGAACAACCCTGTGAAGTAGGTTACACAGAGAATGTGACTAGCCTAAGACAGCACAGCAGGCTTCCATGGCAGAGTGGGGATTTGAACCTGTGGTCCCCAAATCTCACTCCAACCACTATACTGACTCTTTTCTATGGTTTACATTGGAAGTTAGGCTCATTTCATTTCAGGATGGGCCAAGCTAGATGTTACTGCTACCATTTTAGGAATAAATTTGACTATTTTAAGAAAATGCAGCCCTCATGGCACTTTTTAAACGGCTGTGTTCTTCTCTAAAATGGCAGCAGTGGCCACAGGTAGAACCCATGGGTGCTGTAACATCAATTTGGCCCTGACTTTCAAGAGGAAAACAGTGCTTTGGAAACCTTTTATAGTTCACTCCAATTGTTAAGTAGTTAAATAATAGTTTTGTGTTACAAATTGGAGAGATGGGAATGAATTGAAATTACTGGCTGTTATGTAGGGGCTTGAGTGTGGCTTAATGGCTTGAAGCTATGTGCCTGGATTCTTATTCTAGCCACAGTTTTCTCTTTCCTCCCATTAGCCAGGTCTGGGATGCTGGCTCAGCACTCTTGCTGTTTTATTTACTTTGTACGCTAGCTTGGAAGTTTAGGTTGGTCTCCCCAGATTTCCTATAGTGCAAAGCATGGATAGTGTGTTAGTGTACATATGTATTTCTTACCATCCCCCTTACCCTTGCTTTTCATTCATAACTGCTATGAAATTAATCGGGGTGAGAAATACAAATAACTTTAAATATGGGAAGGATTCTTAGGGGAATGGAATCCTGGCATGGTGGGGACAATGTGCTTAGCTGCTCCGCACCCTCCCTGCCCTGCCTTTATCACACAGCATGTTTTGCCATTTATCCCTTAATCTCTTTATAGGGAAGAATGTAGAGAGCAAGTTGACAAGTACCAATATGCTAGTTTCAAAAAATTTGCCACAGAGGAAGCTGCTTGGGATTTTGTAAATGGCGAGTCATCACAATCAGCAAGTAAGTCACAGAAGGAAATGGTGCTTGACAGATACATGGAAGTGGGCATGATGTATTCCACTGTAAATATGTCTTTGTATCAAACGATGCCAGCTAGCAGTGTAATGGGCTGCTCATATATCTGGAATGGAATGTTGCTTGTATTTTTCTTTAGATGGTGTCAGTTGAATTCTCAGACCAGTTACATAGTTTATTTCAGTCAATTGCTGTTCTGAAGGTTCAGTTAAGTTACTTTTGGAATCAAGCTAGCTTTTAAAAAGTGAGATGTGTAGATCTATTTAATAGAAAAAATGTGTGTAAAATACCTACTGAAAAGTTAAAACTGGAAGAATAAGGCAAAGGTATGTATTCTGAAGATCATAACACTTTTCTGTTGTTAAAATGATCAGAAAATCTTACAAAAGAGCCACCAGGTTATATCTTTACGTGACATTTCTTCCCATACAGACATAATTCCCCACCCCCTTCTGGGAACCTGTTTCACATAGTAGGAGGTAGAATAGAAAAGGAAGGATGCTCTGTTCTATGAGCTTGGTCTGCTATATAAGCTTAATTAAGACCAGTTCTGTTCCCACTGGATGCAAAAAATAGACAAGAAATTATTTAGTCCTGGTCTAGCAAAGGATGATATATTGAGATTTGGGGAAAGCAAATCTTTACTAAATACCAAGAAATATATTAAAGACCTAAATCACTTTAGCTCAGTTATACCAGTGTCACTGAAATGGGAGTATCCCTAAAATCGCATATTGTCCTGCAGAGTAAATAATTTGCTGTTTATCACATCTCTGTGTTTGAAGTTGGAATATTTGGAAAAGTCTTTATTGGAAGCTTACATATTATGAATAGACTAATTGGTGGCACAGAGCACTTTAAGTATCAGTGAACTTTAATTTTCATTGTACTTTCATTGGGCTATGATTGAATTGAGTGTTGCACCTTACTAAGAATCTTATTATTAAACCTATGGATGATTTTTCTGTGGTATAAGTTGATGTTAATATAGTTGTTCACATTGCTTAGTTATTGATTCATGTTCTTCCTTAACTTTCTTTCTACCCAGTTTTTTGGCATTTATCTAAGCACCCCAGCCTATATAAAACTTTTAGCATTTCCTCATTGCTATAGAGCACTGGTTCCCAAAGTGGGCAGTACCATCCCCTGGGGGTCATTGAATAAAAATAAGGGGGCAGTGGAAGCATAAAGAAAGAAGAGTCCAGAACCTGTCTAAAGCAGCCTTTTCCTGCCTTCTGGTCTTCCCTGGGATCGGGGTGGGGGTGGAGAGGGGTCCCCACAGCCAATCCCAGCCATGCATTTGCAAATGCATGTGCACCCTTGTAAGACTGGTGTTGCTGCTTGGCTATTGTGTGGTGGTTGCTGTTGGCCTCTGGCTTCAGGCAAACAACATCTTTCTTTACTGGGAAACAACATCTTTCTTTACTATGTGCAAATTTGTCACTGCATCTTTTTGTTCACTTCTTGAAGGTAGATTTCCAGGGGGGCACTGAGTTGTTTTTTTTCTGAAAAAGGGGCAGTAAGCCAAATAAATTTGGGAATCTCTGCTATAGAGCATTTATGCTTGTGCATTTGAACACTGCCCCTTCAGCTGTATATGGGAGATATTGTAATCTACCTTATTTGGACAGGCTTTGCCAATCTGACCTGAAAAGGGTTGACTCCTTACCCCACATGATACTGGAATGTCTTTATTATAATTTCTATTGTGAGTTATGGATTGCCCCTATTTTTAATAAAATTATCTTCTACCGCATCAAAAAATAACATAGTCCTTTATCTGTTGGTGGATAAAGATCCAAGGACTTAGCTAAATGTGGCCAAGTATCTCTCCACCATATTTTCCTTAAAGAAATAAAGGCTGCTTCATCACTCAGTATCATTGGGTCAAAGGAGCTGGAAAGAAATAGGAAAGGAACAGGCTCTGGTTGACGCTGGGCAGGCTTTCTTAAGCAGGGGAATACTCAGTAGGTGGTAGCCAGGGCCATAGCCAGTGCTGGGGCATACAGGGCGGTGCCGCCTTTCATATCTGCAGCACCCCCAGCTGAACCGGGCACAGTCCGGCAGCCTGACTCATGCCTTGCCTCCCTCCACGCCAAGGACAGCTACTCCAACGGGGAGGGCGACAACAAAGAGACATGGGAAACTGAGGGCCAGGTCACCCAAGCAACCCTCCCTGGCATGCTGCACTGAGGGAGAGGACCTGGACTCCCCAGCCACCCGCATTCCCTGGCCAGTGCTGCCCAGGGAGTGGGAGAAGGAGCCCCGCCCCCCGGTCTGAAGATCTCCAAACCGGTCTTGCCACCGCAGGACCCCAACTTTGTGCACCCCTTTCCCACCCCATTCATCCAGTTCCCAGCCAGTGCTGGTGCCGCCTCTCACCTTTCTGACCCACTTATGGTCTTCACTTGTGTGCCCCCATGGCCCCTGTTGTCATTCAGTGCTTCATCTTTAAACACTGGAGGGGGAGGATTTAATGCACTTTTTTGAAGACTAAGGGTTTTGCTTTGCTCTTCCTATAGAAGGAGGAAAATACCTGGCCTGCCAAGAAGCAGGGAGAGCTGGCAACTGCCTGAGGGGCCCAGGGTAAGCAGCTTAAGCAGCTGAAAGGGATTTAGAAACCCAGACAGAAATGATTTATCCACCCCATATCCCTGAGCGCCCATGATTTTCTGTAGGATGGGAGGTCTTTGATTTGGTTCCAGGATTGATGATGTGTGCTACCCAGAGGTCGATTCGGGGGGGATCGCCGTTCCCCCGGGTGAGGTGCGGGTGGCGGGGCACCCGATGAAGCCCTGCCCCCTGCTTCCAGCCGCCCTGGAGGAGGAAAAGCGCACCTCCCCAAAGAAGGCGGGTTTGGAAACTGAAGTGGCAGACGCAGCTTTTGGCAATGAGCCAGAGTGGGCGTCCCTGGAAATGCTCAGCCTCCCTCCTCCGGGGCAGAAGGGGCGTGGATTGGAGCGCACATTCACAAAGGATGGGGAGTTGCCGCACTTTCTCGTGCTAAGGGGGCAGGGTCAGGCTGTGGGGATTCCTCGCTGAGCAGCTCCCGAGCGTTGAGTAGGCGGAGATTGTGGGTCAGCGTCAGGCTGCGAGGAAGGTGGAGCCCACGAGGAAAGCAATTCCCCTCTTCTCCCTCCTCCATGTCAACAAGCGGGGCGCCTGCGCCGGGGGTTTGCGCGTTTTTTCCTCGCGTGGTATTTGTTTCCCGACCAGGGCCCGGGGTTTGGCCTAGGGCTGGCTGGTGCGGCAGCAGCACAATTAGCGGGCTCAGCCGCCTCCTTCTCACTCTTCTCCAGGCCCCCACTGGATGCTCAGGGTGGCCGAAGACTCGCCCAAGCGGCGCAAGGCCAATTTCAACGAGGCAGAGATGGAGGTGCTGAAGCACAAGCAGGTGCTGTTCGCCGTCGGGCCTCCCCAGGCCAGAAGCGCAGAGTCTGGGAGCTGATCCGGCACAAGGTGAATCCGGTGGCCGCCTGTCCCCGCGAGGTGGAGGACCTCAAGAAGCGCTGGCGGGACCTGAAGCGTCGTAACCGGAGCAAGCTCTGCCGCATCACCACCCAAGGCCCCAGCGGGCCCCTGCCCCACCCTGCCTCGCTCGGCTTCCTCTTGCCCCTCAAGGACGTTTCGCTGCCCGACCACCTCTGATCCTACGTCTCTGGCCTGCTCGCTCCCAACGAGGCTGTGCCCATCGTCAGAGGCATCGACACGCTGGACTTGCCGGGAGCTTCCGTGACGGGCGTCGGTGAGTGGGACAAGGCGGTGATGGGCTCCCCATCTCACTTGGGCACCGCATGGTGACAGGCTCGTTTGCACAACGGACAGTTAAGAGACTTATCTCGTCTTCCCGGAAACCTTCGAGTAAGACGATAGAGCGTTCCACGCCTTTCCCTGACCAGTGATCCCATGGCATGTGGTGCCTGTGCCTTCCTCTTTTGTGGCTCCTCTTTCTAAACGCTGCAGAGGGTTAGGATCTCGCTTAAGGGAAAAGTCAGATCCCAACAGCGCCTTACTTCATTGACAAGGATTGTGCTGTGAAAGTGCCACCTGCCTGTCCCGGGGATGGGTTTGGGTGTGAATTGGTTACTTCGAAGTGTGTCTTGTTAAGGAGAGAGATCCAACTTCATGGACTCTTCCCCCCCCCCCCACTCCCGCTGGCCTTGCAGGTCACCGCCGGGCCCTTCATGGGGCTCGGCAGTGGAGCCGCAAGGCCGGCGGCGGCCAGGACCATTGGGGGCGGGGGGGCCTTCGCGGGGCTTCCTCTCACTCCCGCTGGCCTTGCAGGGCCACCGCCGGTGCTGAGTGCTTATGACACACTTCTGGTGATGTCAGGGGGTGTGGCCTTATGACACACTTCCGGTGATGTCAAGGGGTGTGGCATATGCTAATGAGTTCCCCTAGCTCTTTTTCTGTGAAACGACCCCTGGTGCTACCTAATCTATTTAGCGGCGCCCCGGCATGGCCTGCCCCCTGAAAAAATTCCTGGCTATGGGGCTGGTAATAGTTGGAGCATGGAGATGGTCCTTGAGATAAATATATGCCACTAAACTAACTATAGGGAAGTTCCACTGAAATGGACCACTCATAGTTTGTGAAGCTAGAAAACCAGAGCTGCGTTTATTTATTTGTTTTTCAATGTTATAGCCCACTCTTCCTGCAACTGGGCCCAGGGCGGATCACAATAGCTAGGCCATCTGGCAACACAGAAACAATAATAAATAGTTAATCAAAACATTTAAAAAAGTACACTTCACTGAAAATTAATCCCACTGAACTCGTTCAGAGGAAACAGGTGAAGTTGGACTACAAGACTCATCAGTTACAGTTTTAAAGTGCTTCAGATCTGGGTCTTTCACTTCTGGTGAGTAGCTCACTTTGCACAGAAGGTTCTGTTCTTATTGAAAACCTCTGCTGCATAATACAGTATACTGGGCACATTGACGGGTGATACAAGGAATACAGATGCATCACTACCTGGTGACCCAGTGGTTGTTACTGAGGGTATTCCTCATGCTTGTTTTGATTCCTAGTATTGAAGCAGATGCTTGGGCAAGTGCATGCTACCGCCCTGCAGCTTCAGAGTGTGATGCTTCACTAACTTGTTTGTCAAACTTGTTTAGTCTGGTATAGGTCAGAAAGATACGCTATTACTGTAACCTCTGTCATTCAAATACTTGTCTGGCCCTTGAGCCTTCTCTTGGTGGGTAAAAGGTCTATATAAGCTTGGTGGGGTGTGATTGAATTAAACGCTTTTAAGGTACTCCCATAGGAAGAAAGTATTAATAAAAGCTGCTTTTTATGCTGTGCAAAAAACTTTTCCCTAGCAGTAACAATGAGGGTAGATTCTGAGGGTTGCATTTTGATATTGATTCCTGATGCTTGAGCATATTGCTCTTTGGATCATAGTTCACTTACAAATCACAGTCAGCATTCTTGAGTACTCAAAATATTTTTTAATATTAAAAATCACTGGAATACTTTGTGCATCCATTGTCTTGCATCTTATGTACTCATATCTCAAAATTAATATTTCAGTTTCCTGTCTGTTTTTCTGAAGGTAACAGCAGTGTGGCTTATGAAACGCAGAGAAATGATAATAAGGCTACATTCTGGTCAGATTATAGCTCATACAAGAGACCAAATGAAGAGCCCTTAGAAAGCCAGCATAATAGAAAACGGACAAAATACACTGAAGTTCCTCACACAGCTTCAGGGAATAATCTTTCATATATGGGTAAGTTGCAGGCCACAATCCTATGTTCATTCATCTGGGAGCAAGTCCTGTTGAACACAAAGGGATTCACTTCTGAGTAGACTTCCATGAGTTGTAGTTACGTTTATGGTGACCTTTTAAATATGACAGTGAGTTTTACACTCTTCCTTCTTCCCTGGTTATAGTTTGGATTGAGAATTAGGTGAATTAGTACTGTTTGTTACAGTGCCATGAGTATATATGACACTAGATTTTCAGAAGTTAGAGAAATCTCTTGTCCCAGAGGAAATTATACTCTAATGTAGACAGCAGGGAGACAACATTTATAGTTGAGTCATTTCCTTGGTGTAAACCCATGAAGTGGTTGAGCCAAAGAAAGGCCATAGCAAAGGTGGGTTTAGAAGACAGATTTTAGGTAGAGAAATTTTGTCAGGTCTAGAATTCAATTAAATTTCATTCTATCAAAGTAAACTTTACTGAAAATGAAGCAGTTTTTAAATTGGTTAGTAACCAAAAAGGCATGTACATTTGTACAGAAGTTCATTTTAGAACAAGTGAAAAATTACAAAATTTTACAAAGCAGCAGTTACGTTTTATGCCCAAATAGAAAGAATTAATTTCTAACCTGTATCTGGAAGAAGATTTTTATGAGCCACTGTATTAATGATTGTTTTTCTGAATTCAAAAATGGAATGAATTGATATGCCACACTTAAAATACAAATTTATATTTGTAGGAGACTATGCAGTTGTTTATACTGATGGATGTTGTTCAAGTAATGGGCGTCAGAAAGCACGTGCTGGAACAGGTGTCTATTGGGGTCCTGGTCATCCTCTGTAAGTAAGATCCCATGATAATTAGATAACATGTTTTAAAATTCATTCTCTGTAACAGCTACAAGAATTGCAAATTATCACTTTGAATTTCTATGTCCAAATTACTGATTTATCTCATTAACTCTCTGATAACTACAAAATTTGTTTGAACCATTAAAGTTGAACTTCCATCATTAGATATAGTTTTTTTAAAAAAGTAAAGCAATGCAGAAATATGTAACCAAAAGTGCTGTATGAGGTAAATAGTATAGTTTTTCAGTCAGGACTGGAGTTTAAAAATTAAGCTTTCATATGCCACTCTGCCTGATGTATGAATGTACTATACACTTATTTAAATATGAACATTTTAGTATATTTATGTTGAAAGTAGCTAAACTAGTGCTGTAAGTTCAGAACTTATACTTTAAACAGCTAATATTTGTATCCATATGTCATGCAAATTATTATTAAGGGCTTGCTCTGTTGGGCTATTGTGCTCCTATCTCTTTCTCCCAATCCTGTTGCTGTTAAAGTAAGCTGCTTTCCCCCTCAATAGAAAGTGGATATGAAACTGCTGAGGCAGTTCTTACTACCTTAAGGGACTGGCAGTGCAGTCCAAAGCAGAGTTACACTCTTCCAAGTGCATTGATGTAGGACAGACAAGCAGGGTAGTGTAGCGGTAGGTAGGGAAGAGTCATTTGCTGCTTGCCCTGTTGAGCCTGTATGAAGCATAGTGCCCTTTTGATCTAGCATGTGCTCATCAAAATGGCTAATACTATAATGGATATGTTCTTCCTACATGTCCTCATGGGCTTAAGGAACAAAAGATATGTACAGTGTAAGTATGCCATTCTTGAATGTTTGTGATTTTTTAAAAGATTAACTGAACAGTTTAACGGTGAGGGATTTTATCTACATTATTTATAGTTTATTTTTCTCACAGGGACTCAAGGCAGATTATACAGAGTAAGTCAATACAATCAACAGGATGGGACATTCAGTAACCAGTGAAATATGATTTGAGTTGGAAAAGCAACCAGAAATCCAAAAAAGGATTATTAAAGCAAAGCTTAGGTGTTAACATGACACGCAAAATGATGCAAGATTGCATAGCAGGACTGCAAACTGTACACAGTAGTATAGACCACAGTCCCTGATCATTTCTCCATGTAACTTTGTGAAACATTGTGCACTGCTATTCTGTTGCCTGCATAGAAAAGCCCTCTTGAATAATTCAGTTTTGCATAGTTTTCAGGAAGGCAGGAGAGTGGGAGCCTTCCTGACCTCCTCAGGCAGACCATTCTGCAAGGTGGGGGCCGCAACAGTGATGACGTGTGTGTGAGCAGTTGTTGATTTTGCCCATTTGTGTGTTGGTACCTGCACAAGGCCCTATTCAGATGTACAAAGCTGTCCTGGTGGAGCATAGCAGGAGAGACAGTGTCTAAGATATGAGGGTCCAAGGCCATGAAGGGCTTTGTGAGGGATAGCCAGTACCTTAAATTGAGCCCCATAATTGATTGGCAGAATGGGAGTAATATGCATGCTCCACTTAGTTCCCAACTCAAATAGCTATTGATGTAACTTTCTACTGCAAAGATGGTTTGGTATTTAATCTTTACATAAAAACATTTGTGTAGTGTAGTTTGGTGTAATGGTTAAGTGTGTGGACTCTAATCTGGGAGAACTGGGTTTGATTCCCCACTCCTCCACTTGCAGCTACTGGATGACCTTGGGCAAGCCATAGTTCTGTCAGAGCTCTTGAGGACAGTTCTGGAAAGAGCTCTCTCAACCCCACCTACCTCACAGGGCATCTGTTGTGGGGAGGGGAAGGGAAAGGAAAGGAGTTTGTAAGCCACTCTGAGTGAAGGGTGGGGTATAAATCCAATCTCTTCTTATCAGTTATCAGTTGAGCGTGTGTTTTGTTTATTTCACAGAAATAGTAGTGAGAGACTTCCTGGGCGGCAAACTAATCAAAGAGCTGAAATACATGTAAGTTGCAATACAGAACTTGAAAGACCTGGGTTATCGCAGCATCTTCTTCGTGGTCTCTGTGCATCACACCCTTGGGATACACTGCGCCTGCGCTGAACCTTCTCGGTACCGATAGCTAACAAAAAGGGATTTTCGCGCCTCTCCCAGGTCACGCGCCGACCCCACTGCGCATGACCAAGGAGGGGCACGCAGATCCCGCCAGTTCTCTTCTGACCGCCGCGCTGGTAGGACGCCTTCTGCCTCGGTCTGCTAAGTACCAAACTTTTTTTGCTAAACTTGCGTTTAGTTAGTTTCTCTTTCTTTATTTTTGTAGTTAGCATTTTTCTTTCGGTGTTTGTTCTTTATTTACGTTCCCCTCCCGCTGGCCTATGGCCCCGCGGTGGGGTTGTTTCAAACGGTGTAGGACTTGCGGCCTTAAAATATCCCCCACCGACGGGCACGCGCTTTGCCTCGTTTGCTTAGGGGAGTCGCACTGTGTCTCTAAGTGCAGACATTGCCGAAAGTTTTCGAACCAGACGAGAAAAAACAGAGCAGCTCGTCTACACTTGGCCCTGATGAAGAAGGCACTATCTCCACAGTCCTCTTCACCGTTGGACACGTCCGGGCACTCCCCGATGTCCACCTTGGCTGTGGACACTTGTCCTCCCGTTCCGGGATCATCGACGTCGATGATCGCAATCGATGCTTCGGCACCGAAACGATCGACGCCGATAAAGGACCACCCCGTACCTTCCAAGATCCGGAAGCAGGGCAAAGACTCACAGCAGTCGAAGAAACCTAAAACGGACAAACCCAAAGTCCATAAGGTTTCGGCTAATCAGGGTCGAGATCCCACGCAAGAACCTCACCCGATCGGTTCGGATCTCGACATCGACCTTACTCAACAGACAAATCAGTCGCAATCTGATATGTCGAGCCGTCAATCCTCTCATGCCTCCCCAGAACGTGGAGTCGAGGATCGGCACCGACCAACATCTCCTCCCCTAACATTAAAGCAAAGCTTAGGTGTTAACATGACACACAAAATGATGCAAGATTGCATAGCAGGACTGCAAACTGTACACAGTAGTATAGACCACAGTCCCTGATCATTTCTCCATGTAACTTTGTGAAACATTGTGCACTGCTATTCTGTTGCCTGCATAGAAAAGCCCTCTTGAATAATTCAGTTTTGCATAGTTTTCAGGAAGGCAGGAGAGTGGGAGCCTTCCTGACCTCCTCAGGCAGACCATTCTGCAAGGTGGGGGCCGCAACAGTGATGACGTGTGTGTGAGCAGTTGTTGATTTTGCCCATTTGTGTGTTGGTACCTGCACAAGGCCCTATTCAGATGTACAAAGCTGTCCTGGTGGAGCATAGCAGGAGAGACAGTGTCTAAGATATGAGGGTCCAAGGCCATGAAGGGCTTTGTGAGGGATAGCCAGTACCTTAAATTGAGCCCCATAATTGATTGGCAGAATGGGAGTAATATGCATGCTCCACTTAGTTCCCAACTCAAATAGCTATTGATGTAACTTTCTACTGCAGAGATGGTTTGGTATTTAATCTTTACATTAAAAAATTTGTGTAGGGTAGTTTGGTGTAATGGTTAAGTGTGTGGACTCTAATCTGGGAGAACTGCACGAAGAAGATAGACAGGTTGCTTACCTGTAACTGGTGATCTTCGAGTGGTCATCTGTGCATTCACACCACCCGCCCTCCTTCCCCTCTGCTCTCGGCCCTTCATCTTGTTTCTTTGAAGGCTGTTGGGCGGCGGTCAGAAGGAACTGGCGGGATCTGCGTGCCCCTCCTTGGTCATGCGCAGTGGAGCCGGCGCGTGACCTGGGAGAGGCGCGAAAATCCCTTTTTGCTAGCTATCGGTACCGAGAAGGTTCAGCGCAGGCGCAGTGTATCCCAAGGGTGTGAATGCACAGATGACCACTCGAAGATCACCAGTTACAGGTAAGCAACCTGTCTTTCCTGATTTGCTCTTTTGCTTACCTGCAAGGTGTTGTACAGTAACACTTTATGGTTCCATTAACAGATAATGCCAAATTATAGTTTGGTGTTTCATTAACAAGCCTCCAGCTCATATACTCCCTCTTTCCTTGTGCAGTGCCGTTTGTGGGAAAACTTCTTTAGTTCCTCACAGGATCATAGGACATAAAAAATGCAGAAGATGCTCCATTTGTAAATATACTATGGAAATAACAGAATTCCTTAGTCCAGTTAATGGATACAGAGTAAGATTTTTCATCCTCTGTCCTTGTCAAAAAATATATGTCAGGATCAGTACCAGGGCACTTAAAACTCGTGTCTTGGAGCATTGCTCCAGAATTGCTAATGACATTAGGGACACACCCTTGGTTCAACACTGGCATGAACAGAAGCACAGTATAGAAGACATAAAATGTTGTGTCATTTACAGACATCAAAACAGTACCTTTAGAAAAGAAAATGCAAAAGATTCTGTTGCAAAAGGAAACGCGGTTTATCTTTAAATTAGAAGCACGTGAACCCTCAGGACTCAATGCATATGTAGATTTCACTGCTTTCCTTTAACTGACACCACTCTTAAACTGATTAGCTAATTTGCACCTGGAGGCATAGATGGCTTTAAGTGTTTTTATGGACATTTAGAAATCATGTTTCTCAGTCCATTGGAATTGCAAAGTCTTTTCTAGGATTGTAGAGTTTTCTTCCAATCCCCAGTCTATCTATGTATCAATTGTATTTTATGCTTAATAATAAGAAGCATGTTTAATAATGAATTTATTATTTATGAATTTAAACAGTTTGGAGCTTTTATATAATGTTAAGTCATATACAATGTTCCCTCTAAGCTCTGGAGTCTTGTGAGCAAAAATTCTCCTTTGTGAGTGATTGGCATGAAAGTTGTGAGCGAGGGATCTGGCTACTGCATCAATTAGTTTGCTCTGGAGCCATCCCTTCCTGAGCAATGACAAAAGTGTGTGAGTCGGAGGCTTAAAAACTGTGAGCTAGCTCACACTAACTCAGCTTAGAGGGAACACTGGTCATATATGATTCATACTAATTCATCTATTTCCTTAAATTGCTGTAAGTTCAGATGTAATAGCAATCAAGTAGCTTCCTGTGAAACAGGGTGGGGAATGTAGGGGGAAGAGGGAGCATGTCAGCTGACACTCATTCCTGCACTTTCAAACTACATTCTGGCATGGCTTCTAACCAGCTCTAAAACTTTGTCTGTCCAAAGCCACTATAAGGTGATTAAACCCATTGGGAAATTGAATATTTTAAAGGAGAACTATAGTAGATAGTATAGTTAATAAATGCATGAACTGATAGATTTGACTCACAAGTCTCGACTAGTCAAAGAGAGGATCCATAATGGAAGACTATAGTACATAAATGATCATGTAGTCACTGTACTTAGGGTAAAATTTTATGTTATAAATGGTTCTGTTTATCTCCTGAGTTGTGTTTTTGCCAAATATTTTGTTCAGGCAGCTTGCAAAGCTATAGAGCAAGCAAAGAGCCGAAACATCAAGAAACTGGCTATCTATACTGACAGCAAGTTCACCATTAATGGTAAGCAGTTGGTTTTTTTGGATAAACTAAATTTATACATTGCCCTGTTACATAATACACAGTGACAAGTGGAGACCTGTGAAAACTCAGAAGGGAAGGGAAAATCCTTGTTGTCTCAGTCACCTTCATTTTCCACCTCCCTGTCTCCCTGATACCTCTGTTTCCCCTTCCCTTCTGGCTTTGCCTGTTTGTGATTTTTCATTTCTGCCACGGTTAGCTCCGTAGAATGGTAGGATATAACTCATTATGATTTGTAGATAATGGTGTTTTTACGGGTAAATTGATCATGTGGTTTAGGTCCTGCTAATAAACTAGCAGGTTAATGTCTATTAATTTAAAGCTATTCACCAGAAAATCCTTTGTTGAGAAGAGTTGGGACTGGAGGTCACAATGCATGTCTGGATTTATTTGTTTATTTATTGTCAGATTTATACCCCGTCCTCCCAGCCAAGGCCGGCTCAGGGCGGCTTATACAACAATTCAAAACACACAAATAAACAATTTAAATAGTCCTAAAACCAAATAAAACATTTCAACATTAAAAAGGTGCTAACATAAAAAACACTAATAGGTTATTAAATGATGGTGGTCGACCTTCAGTGTTCCATCCTAGTGGTCAGTCCATAGGTCTAACCTTGTTCGGCCGGCACAGGCTGTTCTGATGACTTCAGGGAACAGGGTTCTCTATTGGGGGCGGCTCCTGATTGAAAGGCTGGTGGAAGAGCTCCATCTTGCAGGCCCTGCGGAACTACATAAGATCCTGCAGGGCCCTGATCTCTTCTGGGAGCTCATTCCACCAGAGAAGAGTCACCACCAAGAATGCCCTGGCCCTAGTTATAGCAGGCCTGGCCTCCTTGGGTCCTGGGAGGGCCAATCAATCCTGGGACCCTGATCGCAGTGCTCTCTGGGGAATGTATGGGGAAAGGTGGTCCCTCAGGTATATATGTCCCTGAGCATAAAGGGCTTTAAAGGTGAATTCAGTATGCTGTTGGTAGCCAGTGCAATGCCTTTATCCTCTTTCAGCTTGCCCATTTGCAGTCCCAAACAAGAGGCTGGCAGTGGGTAAGCACTGCAGTTGCTTAGGTAGAAAATGAGATTAGTCCAGAAAACTGATAGAAGCTGATGGTGATATCCTGTCAGATGCAAACATTGTAAAATGGGTCAGTAAGCAGCTCAGGATTTTGTTACTTTGAACATGGACTAAACAACTTCAGAGGACCCATCTTCTTCCAACTAGCTTTCACAGTTAGGATGAACAGGAACTTTGCTTATGAGGAGGTCACTCTCAAGACGTTTAGCCTCCATCATCGTATGAAAGACCAGTTGTAAAGGGGCAACAATTTAAATAGGATAAGACTTTACAGTACACTCCTAAGCAGAGATGCACCCTTCTAAATCCATTCAAGTCAGTGAGTTTACAAGGGTTACTCAGGATGGCACTGCTGTTCTTTATTTCTTGTCTTTAAAATGGCAGACTGACTGCACAATTTATCTGCAGAGTTGGGAGTAAATTCATTACAGATCCATTAAATGTCCAGATGTAGCTTTTTGCCTTTTGGAACACCTTAACTGGATGGCATTTTGCAGATGCTGTGGAAGCTGGGAGATAATTTCTGCAGTGTCTTTAAAAATGACTTGATAAGATCAAGTTACAATCCTAAAGGGATCCTTTTTTCTTTTGTAGGTATAACAAACTGGGTTCCAAACTGGCAGAGTAATGGTTGGAGAACCAGCACAGGGAAAGATGTAATAAACAAAGAGGACTTCGAAAGGCTTGCTGAACTTTCAGAAGGCATGGACATCCAGTGGGTACGTAACAGAACTGCTGACTGAGTGAAGAATGAGTACATATCTTTAAAACGCAAATCCTGCAATAGAATATGAGCAATTTGGTTGTGTATTCATGATGTTCCCGATAGTAATACAAGTAGATTGTTTATACCAATATAAGAGGCTAAAACGAGGATGTTTCAGTTCCTTAGAAGAAAGCTACCCATCATTGTGGCCCTTGTATTACTGCCCAGCCATAGTTTCTTGGGAAGGAAGAACCGTGCTAGTTCATAGTTATAGGCAGAGGTGCTGGCAAGAGGTAGAACAGGAATTTTCTCTTAAAAATAAGAGAAAGAATTGCACTTCGTTCCTAAAAGAATAAAATTATATTAAAACATAGGTAAGTAGTAGTAGTGTTTGTAGTAGACGTTGTAGATTAGTAGTAGCTATTCTAGAAAACTGCTATTGATTGCAGTTTGCCATACACTTTTAGTTACTTTGGACCCTTCTTGTCAACAGATGCATGTTCCAGGTCATGCAGGATTTACGGGAAATGAAGCAGCAGATCATCTAGCAAGAGAAGGAGCTGGAAAACCCCAATCATAGCATTTTGGAATTACAAAGTTCTTTTTGAGTTCTCTGGCAGTGGTAACAATGAGTTTGTTAACCCGTGGCATTTCTAGTTAACATGAGGTTTTTGTTGAATCTCCACCCAGCTGTGTTGGCATTCAGAAGACTCACAGGGCCGTACTTTCCTCAAGAGGCATTTTCAGGGTTATAATAGAAATTAATTCAATTTCTGTTGGAGTTAAGATGCCTGATGTTTTTAGGCAGCACATTTCCACTCACCGCTGCAAGTTTGTGTTTAAGTTTTGTAAAGCTAGTTACTTCAGAAGCATTAAAATATATCAGTAGGGTGATGGACAACAGTATGTTTTCCCATTGAGCTTTGAAATAAAGATTTCTGTTTTTACTCTAATTGGCATTTCTGCAACCCAATTTCAATAGAGGCCATGCAACACAAAAAAATACAACCCCCCCCAAAGGTTCACCCACTACTGTGCACAAAGTGCAAAATGTCAGTGATCCATAACAGCACACTGATCATAAACTCGCATTCCATTGATGCAGGGTTTGTCAGTTTCAGTCCACTTAATCACAAGGGTCACAGAGTCTGAGTGCAGTATTCACCTGACAATGATTACGCATGGCAAGCATCAGTCTTCTATAACTGTAAAAGGATATATGTGCCTGTGGCAGGCATAACTCAACAGAAAATAAAGCTAAGAGTTCCAGAATCCACTATGAGCTTCAGGATAATCATGGTGTTGCACTGCCATAAATGAAGGGAATTGGGACATCCTCACTCAAATTATCTCGAGGACATCTCTGTTATGCGATGGAAGCACCAGTTCACTTGTTAGAATCCTGGAAGGTGGAGGCAGCAGTGCTACAGTGAAAGATACCCCCTCCTACAAAAACAGAGATGGCTCAACAACTTTAAGCTGTGCTCCAAAAACCACTCCTTCATCTGTGGCTGTATATTTCCTTAATGGTTGTCCTGGCAACCACTGAAACTCTTCCAGGAGTCTGTTTTTTGAGACGACTGTGAGACTAAACTCTTCTGGCAAGCTGAAGAGGTCACAGCTACACAGATGGAGATTGTGGTGGGCTGTTTACATTTTGGTTTTCTAACTGATTTCTTTTACTGAATAATTATGGGGTGGGGCAAAGTGTATTGAAGTTACTTAACAATGTAGGGGAGAAATATAGGCAAACACTGCTTTTGGGGTTAGCCTGCAGAGCACGTGGGGACGGAGCCCCTATGATACTGTCAGTGCAGCTAGCAACAAGGTTGGTGAGCAGGGGTTGGTTCCTGAATACAAAAATGGGGATTTAGAATCTGTGAATAAGTACTGTTGATGTTAAATGAATTAATGGTCTAACTGGCTGTTGAAGAGACTTGAAGATAATGAGTTGGTTATATTCTTACCGTGTACAGATGCACAGGCACTTAAATATTTGGTGCATCTTGGGAGATCTTATAGCCTTTGCCAACAATGCTACTGTAGGGGGAGCAGGAGAGTCTCCCCCTTCAGAAACTGAGGTCTTCAAAGCCAGGGGGGCAGCACACATTAAGAGACTAGCTGGTAGGTGCCCCTTCATAAAAATGATACCACACTCGTCCTTTGCCCTGTTATAGGGAACCCTAAGAGGTTCCAGCAGGGAAACGGCATATTTGGGAACAGCACATGAGTCCTGTACATCCCAGTTCAGTATGCCTTACTTGCTGTGCAAAATGAGATGGTGTTACATGGTCCCCCTCACTCTCTCTCTCTGTGGGGGGTCACATTAGCAGACGAGACTTGTCCTACAGGATTCTGGTTGACAATCCCTGCCTGACTCAGCCAAATAAAAAAATACCATTGCACTTATGTGTGTGTGTGTGTGTGTGTGTTAAGTGCTGTCAAGTCACTTCCAATTTATGACAACTCTATGAGTTAATGACTTCCAAAATGTCATTAGCAGCCTTGCTCAGCTCTTGTAAACTGAGGCTTGTGGTTTCATTGGTTGAGTCAATCCATCTCATGTTGAGTCTCTTCCTGATGCCTTCCACTTTTCCTAGCATTATTGTCTTTTCCAGTGACTATTGCCGTCTCATAATGTGACCAAGGTATGATAGCTTCAGTTTAATTATTTTCACTTCTTGGGAGAGTTTGGACTTGATTTGATCTACCATCCATTTATTTGTCTCTTTGGTGGTCCATGGTATCCGTAAAACTCCTTTCCAACACTACATTTCAAATGAATCGACTTTCTTCGCTGTCCAACTTTCAATCCCATACACAGTAATGGGGAATACTGTGGTAGTATCCGTAAAACTCCTTTCCAATACTACATTTCAAATGAATCCAACTTTCACTCCCATACACAGTGATGGGGAATACTGTGGTATGAATTATCTTGATCTTGGTCACCAGTGACCCATATTTAATAATCTTTTCTAGCTCCTTCATGACTGCCCTTCCCAGTTTCAATCTCCTCCTGATTTCTTGGTTGCAGTCTCCATTTTGGTTGATGATGGGGCCAAGGAATAGCACTTTCTTCATCAGCCTTAAAGTTGTATAATTTCTCAGTTGTTACTTTTGTCTTGATGTTCACCTGTAATCCTTCCACCAATGTTCACTCCAATCTAAATCTAATCCATCTTTTTTCATGATATGTTCTGTATACAAATTGAACAGACAGGGAAATAAATGACATCCTCTTCTGACATCTTTGCCAACTGGAAACCATTCTGTTACTCCATGTTCTGTCCTAACAGTAGCCTCTTGTGCAGAGTATAGGTTGCGCATCAAAACAATCAGATGTTGGAGCACCCCCATTTCTTTTAAAACCACCCATAGCTTTTCATGATCCACTCAGTTGAAAGCTTGGCTGTAATCTATGAAACAAAAGCTAGTGTCTCTTTTTCTGAATCCGGCTTGAACATCTGGCTTTTTTCATTTTACTTGTGTTAACAGTTAATGTGATGGTCCG